GGCGCAACATGGCCAAGAAGGCGCGCGCGTTCGGCATGAGCGTGAGGTACTACAACCGCACGAGGCTGTCGGACGACCTGGAGAAGGACGCCGGCGCCGAGTACGTCGACTTTGACACGCTGCTGGCCTCGAGCGATGTCATTTCGCTGAACCTCCCCCTCAACGTAAGTCATCCGTCTATTCCCCATGTTTGAAAGATGCCACTAAACAAGACGTACGCAGCCGCACACCCGCCACATCATCTCGACCGCCGAGTTCGCCAAGATGAAGAAGGGCGTCGTCATCGTCAACACCGCCCGCGGCGCCGTCATCGACGAGGCCGCCCTCGTCGACGCCCTCAACAGCGGCCAGGTCGGCAGCGCCGGCCTCGACGTCTTCGAGAACGAGCCCGAGGTCCACCCCGGCCTGCTCGCGAACCCGAACGTGCTCATCGTGCCGCACATGGGGACCTACACGCTCGAGACCACCGTCAAGATGGAGGAGTGGGCGATTGGCAACGTGCGCCGCGCCGTAGACGAGGGCAAGCTGAACAGCGTGGTGCCGGAGCAGAAGACTGTTGCTGGTGCTTAGACATGAGTGAGAGACTGGCTTTATGAATTCGTAATGAGACTTGGCGCATCGTTCATGGTAACATAGACTCCAAGCATTGGTTCATCGCACCACCAGACAACTCTGTGGCTTCTAGATGTTGCCACAACTGCAAAGACTCGCAGATTCAAGGCTCACTGAGACATCACCATCAGAAGTGTCACATTGCACACAATTACAAGTTCTCAGAGGACAACATATATTGTCTATGCCGGGCCACGGTTGACGGGCCCTAGTCCTAGAGTTGATCTACCCTTAACCCCTATATCCCATCCGGGGGTTGAGTCCCATTTTCCCAAATTCGGGCCGCAGAAAACAAATACAAATGCCATGGTCTGGGGAATCACTATTCACAAGCCAACGCCTATTTTTTGTTGAAAAATCTCGCAGCCAGGCCCCCCAACTTTTTTGAGTTCCAGCCCGTAACCGCCCCCAACCGAGATTCCCTTCCCAGATGTGTCATGCAAGTCATGCTGTTGAGAACACACATTGCCAAATGTTATGGTGTAAGCTCGTTGAAGTCATTAATCGGAGTGTTGAAATCCAACTTTCGAAGATTGGATATTAAAGAGAAAACGCTTAGTAGCGGTAGATGTCGCTCTTGTAGGGACCCTCGACGGTGAGGCCGAGGTACTCAGCCTGGACCTTGGAGAGCTCGGAGAGCTCGACGTTGCAGTGGGCAAGGTGGAGTCTGGCGACCTCCTCGTCGAGAACCTTGGGGAGGACGTAGACGCCGACCTCGAGCTTGCCGGACTTGGCGAACTCGACGTACTTCTGGCCCCAGGCAGCGTCACCGGACTTGTACAGCATGATCTGGGCAAGGACCTGGTTGGTGAAAGAGCAGGACATGACGAAGGAAGAGTGGCCGGTGGCACAGCCAAGGTTGACCAGACGGCCCTCGGCGAGGAGGATGATGTGGCGGCCGTTCTTCATGAGGAAGCGGTCAACCTGGGGCTTGATGTTCTGAACGCTCTGGGCGTTGGCCTTGAGCCAGGCGACGTCGATCTCGATGTCGAAGTGGCCAATGTCTGTGGAACAAGCGGTTAGATGGATGATTAATGCGTGGGCTGCTTCAGAAGTACTTACTGCAGACAATGGCGTCGTTGGGCATGGCCTCGAAGTGCTGGGCAGTCAGAATGTCACGGCAACCAGTGGTGGTGACAAAGATCTGACCCTGGGAAGCGGCCTTCTCCATGGTGGTGACCTGGTAGCCGGCCATGGCAGCCTGGAGGGCGTTGATGGGGTCGATCTCGGTAACGAGGACGCGAGCACCCATGGTGTGCAGAGCCTGGGCACAGCCCTTGCCGACATCACCGAAACCAGCGACAACGGCGACCTTGCCGGCAACCATGACGTCGGTAGCACGCTTGATACCGTCGATGAGGGACTCACGGCAGCCGTACAGGTTGTCGAACTTGGACTTGGTGACGGAGTCGTTGACGTTGATGGAGGGGACGAGGAGCTTCTTCTCCTTGAGCATGCGGTAAAGGTGGTGGACACCGGTGGTGGTCTCCTCAGAGACACCGTAGCAGTCCTTGAGCATCTCGGGGTACTTGTCGTGGACGAGGTGGGTCAGGTCACCACCGTCGTCGAGGATCAGGTTGAGCTTCTTGCCATCCTTGAAGGCAAGGAGCTGCTGCTCCAAGCACCAGTTGTACTCCTCCTCAGACTCGCCCTTCCAGGCGAAGACGGGGACACCGGCGGCGGCAATGGCAGCAGCGGCGTGGTCCTGGGTGGAGAAGATGTTGCAGGAAGTCCAGGTGACCTCGGCACCGAGAGCAGTGAGAGTCTCGATGAGGACGGCAGTCTGGATGGTCATGTGCAAGCAACCGGCGATACGGGCACCAGCGAGGGGCTGGTCGGCGGCGTACTTGGCACGGGTCTGCATGAGACCGGGCATCTCGTTCTCGGCGAGCTCGATCTCCTTGCGGCCGAAGGCAGCCAGGGACAGGTCGGCGACCTTGAACTTGTGGGCGGGAGCAGCCATTGTGATGTTGATTTGTGGTATTGGTGGGAAGGGAAAGAGGTGGATGGGGAGGATAGGAGATGGAAGGAAAGAAGAGAAAGGGAAATCAGAACTCTGATGGACGGGGGGAGAAGGAGAAGAAAAAGACTTTGGAGGGGTCGAGTCCGGAAAGGGAGCAGGGCGGTGAGTGTGAGTTCTGCGTTGTCCGGACGGAAATTTCTGCTGGGTGTGCTTGGGATTGGACTTGTCGCTCGCTGGTCGGCGTTGCGCGGTGCCTGGACAATACCTACCTACCTTACCTTTGCGAGTGGTGAGTGGTGACTGGAGGGAAGGAGGGGGAGGGGTGAGGTGGGAGGGGCATCGCACCGTGTTGGAGGGGGGACACTGGACCTCAGCCAGAGGCGGGGCAAAAAAGTTCAACCAGGTGCAGCAGGTGCAGCAAGTGTGGCAGGTGAGGTGGGGTTCCAGCGCCTTCCTCTCCCTGGTTGAGACCTTCCATTGAGATGGGAAAGAGGGAGAGGCCGAGAGGATGGAAGAGACTTTGGGAGCTGACACGGCAGCCGCGATAGCAAGAGGTACATCCAAGCTATCGACTCGATGATCCGACACCACTTTTTGCAATGTACGCAGTACATAGTAGACGTCCAGGGGCCCCTTCCCCTTCATGCCCCGCCACTGCCTCTGTCTCTCACTCTCCACGTCTCTACATAGTACCTACTCTACCTACCTAGGTACGTCCTCCGGACCTTTCACTCGAGGAGGAACCCAAGGGACCTTTTGCATTCTCGGCAAAGAACAGACAGACAATGGCCATGTCTGACTTCAAGGCTCACTTACAATGGCACCAATGCCTCCTGGAAGGGAAGACTGAACGAAGGGCTGGCTCAGCTCATTCCCAACTGCCCTGTGTGCCTATGCAAAACTCGTCAGGATTGGATGAGGAGGTTCCAATTCGACCCCGCGCGTGCCTGGTGCCGCTGTCTCATCCAACGTCAACTCAATTGGTGTTTTGGATTTTTTTCCTCTGCCTCTACGTCTACCTGGCACCTAAACCGTTCAACAAGCCACCACATGGAAAGGGATGGCTAGGCCCAAGGGAGCAAGCTTGGAATGAGCTTCCTCCGCCACCCGCAGAGCTCACTCAAGTAGCTCTGTTAACGTGCAACCGTGCTGAATTGGAGCTTCGTTTTTTATCAGTGCTGATCGGAACAGCTCCAGCATCCCCAACCCGGGGCCGACCTGCTCGGAGGTAAGGTGAGGTAAGGTTAGGTCGGGTAAAAAATTTGAAGAGGCCGGCCAAGCTCACGTACTTGCAGCCTTACTCGTATTGTTGCCCGGCCACATGCAAATTCGATAGGCCACAGGTACCTCGTGAACCCTGATGGGGTCCATCTGGACAGCCATTTTGTGATTAAGCCTAGAGCCCACAGCCCACCTAGAGCTTTGCCCCTCCTCGCCCATGGCACTGCACTCGGGACTGCGAGGTGTACTATGCAGTAAGTACTTCTTCACTTGGGAGCATCAGTCCAGACCTGCGTGCCGCCGAGACTCGATCTGAGAGGTCAACCCAACCATTCAAAGTCCCTTTTGTTTCCCCTTGTTTTACCGTTTTCACGCGCTAGTCTCTTTCCAGTGTGAAACCCCTCGAAATTGCCCCACCATGCCTCGGGCAACACGCACCACCTACCTCCTCTCGACTGAGTTTCCCAGGAACTCAACACGGCCATGCGAATCATGCAAACCTTCCTTGAGGACGTGCTATGTAGTGTTCACTCACGTTGTAAAGAGGCTACCGTGGCACCAAGTAACACATCCTACCTTTAGTGAAGTACCTTGAAGCACAGTAACATGGGACGGTAAGGCGAACTGAGGCTTCTGACGCCGACCGGTCCGGCCAAACTTAAGTGGTAAATCATCATGTTCAACTTCTCTGTCTGACGTACTCTCTGGACGCAATACAGGCGCCAACCTCGACGTCGAAGCTATCTAGAACTTATGACTTGCCGAGATATAACGTGCGTGCTCTGGTTTGCACCATTATACTTCCCCCAGGATCAACATGCCCTTTCCGTGCCATGGCCTCGTCTGCCACCAGCCCTTTACTCCCAGTTGCCAACAACAACAACTCCCTGGCCAGCTTCAGCCAGCAGAGAACCCAAGGGAGAGGAATTGAACCGTCGCTTTGGTATGCAAGAAAAACATCGAATATCGACTCGATACACTCTGCCTGGGACTAATTACCGTAACGCCGTTTCGAATGCTTGATCCGCTTCCCAGATCATTCATCATTCCCAGAACACCCGTTCTCTAAGGTAAGGTAATCAACTCTTCTTTTTTGTCTTTGCCCTTCCCCTCGACCCTTTGTTCTTCTTGAATCCGTCGTATCCGATTCGCATACGATGACACCGACAACCGAGCCTGCCACTGCCCCTTTTCCTCACGCCTCCTAAGCGTGCTTGGGCAGCAGGTTCTCCCTGACGGCGAACATCTTGGCGCTGATGTTGGCCGTGAATCCGTCCACCTGCTTGCTGTACTGCTCCACCTGCTTCGCGTTGAGCATGCCCTCCAACCGGCTGGGCTCCTGGGGGAGCTTGAACAGCCTCTGCCACTCATCCTCGGGCAGCGGTGTCTGCTTGGCCGCCGCGCGCGCCGCGTTCTCCGCCTTGCGCTTGGTCTGCCACTGCGTGATCTTGGCCTGCTCACGGCCGAGCTGGCGCTGGTAGAACTGGAAGTTGTTGAGGTCGGTGTAGTGCGACTCGATGCTCTCGAGCAGGAGGTCGCACGTCTTCTCAAGGAAGGGGTCTATCGACAGGTCGAGGTTGTCCACCGAGGGGTGCAGCGGCTGCTTGATGGGGTCTTCGCGCAGGTCCGACAGAGAAGTGGGGGGCTCGATCTTGTCCTGCTGGGGGATCTGGGGGAGCTGGTGCAGGAAGGACGTCAGGAGGTGGGTGTTGTGGACTTCGACAGGGAGCTCGGCGAGAATGTCCTTGAAGGACAGCTTGGACTTCTGCAGGCTGTGACGGAGACATGTGTTAGCAAACGTGACCTTGCCATGAAATTCGCGCGGTGCTCCATATCGTACCTCTCAGTGGTGAACTTGTTCTCCTTGTAAGCCTCCATGAAGGTCGGGGTAAGCTTGAAGGCGCGCAGGCTGAGGGAGCCCTGGGAGCTGCGGCTGACGTCGTGGACGAGAGCGATGGTGCGCTCGTTCTCCTTCTGGTAGTGGAACTGGTTCTCGATGAAGCTGAGGTTGACGAAGTTGCCCATGGCAGCAGAAGTGTACCAGCCGACGTTGTTGGCGTCGACGTTGACCTCCTTCAGGTGCTTGATCATCTCGTTCTGGTAGGCGATGTTGGCCTTCTGGCGGGGAGCGGCGGCAGCGAGGGCAGAGGCGTCGTTCTGGTGGCTGTCGGTGTTGGCGACGTCGACCGTGGGGAACTGGAAGGAGTTGGTGATCTCGAGGACGCCCTCGTTGTCCATGCCAACGATGGCACCGGTAGCGGTCGTGGGGAAGGTCGCAGAGCCATGCTTGACGATTTTCATCACCACCTACGGGCGCATAATGTCAGCGACAGGTGCCCATGTGGCTTTCGGACGTGTGCCACCATCTCGACTGCAAAGGCGAGGTGGGGCAGGATTTGGCAGGACTCACCAGGGCCTCAACTTGGACCGCCTTGAGCGGCACCTCCTTGATAGCATCCGCCATTTTTGCGATACGATCGGGGATTCGTGCAGGAGTCAAAAATTCTGACGGCGTCGGTTCTGCGGCTGCGGAATCGTGGGTGTCGCGATCTTGGCGTCGGGATCGAGGGGCTCGTCGTGATGCGAAATATCGAACTTTTCGCTACAACGAATTGTGGGAGGGATTGTGGGCGCTGAGGGCGGTGGCCAGGGGCAGAATTTGCGGGTGTCTTTCTTCAGTGACTGACGCTGGTTTGCAGTGTGGCCTCCAGGTTCCAGCGGGTGCTGCTTCGCTGCTGGCCTCGAGGACTAGTGTAGTGGCTTATGTAATTCGCGAGCGAGCTCACCCCTCCTTCAGGTTAAGACCACCCCTCAAGACTAGCCCTGCAGCTGTCGAGGACCGCCAGTAGCCGCCACCTCTGGCGCCGACGCCCGCCATCCTTTCCCTCCCACGGTGATCCGTAACAGATTCCACACGCCATGTCCTGAAGGGGAGGGCATCCCACACTTCCCCCCACGCCGAAAGCACTCAATTCGAGTTTAAATTCAACGTCGTCTCATCTCGCCGCACCTCGACCGCTACCCTTCGTCTTCTACTACAAAATGTCCTCCATTTTGTTCGTCTGCTCCTGAGCATCATTTTGCGATATCACTCGGGGGGTGTTCCGTGCCGACCCGGACCCCAAAACGTCGAAGGAATATGGGCAACTCGAACAACTCGACACTTACACCCTGCCCACCACCACTTGGCACACGCTTCACCGAACCTTGGGACGGCGTTCTGTCACAGCAAGCTCTGCTCTGGTCGAAACGATGGCCCGACGACTGTCACAGAAGAGAAAGTCGCGGTAGCAAAGAAGATTTGTCCAAGGCGTCCATGTATTACGCTTACGCTGTCTATGAATTCAACACGTCGTGTGTGGCCGTTACAAACGATGCTACCGAAATGCCCTCCAATCCCATCTACCGTACGCCACCAATGGTCGTTAACTTTGCTCATTTTCCGGCGCGATTGCGACATTCTACCCAAGGTATCCAAACGCCGTCATCAGTTACTTTTCCTCTCGGTCGTCAATCTTTCGAAAACCTTCTAGTCTGTCCAGTCGATAATCTCCCAGCTTTGTGCGCCCTCGTGGATCACCAATCGGTGCCGATCAATCCGCCAGAATGAGTACATGGATGCAGTCGCACGACTTGCTTTGCGGTGAGCAGGGCCATGGCCAGCCTTGACGGCGTCAGGTCTGGACCTCCAAACGCAAGTTGCGAGGTTTCGTCCTTCAGCATCAGGGCTCCCGAACCAGTATCTGCATGCGGTTAGTCGAATTCTTCTTGATTGTAACTTTCTTCATACTTCAAGAAACCCCCAACTTGGTTGGCCTCAGCGTGGGCTGCTTTGTCCAGAACTCCGAGGTCGCCATAGACTGTTGTGGGTGGAATTTGCGAGCGGAACGCCACAATGTAGAAGGAAGTCTCCTTGTACGATTTACCCGTTGTCTGGACAAGGGTTTTGAGTTCGCGCATGACGTCTCCCCAGTTGAAAGATTCGACATAGTCGGCCGTGGCGTAGTCTGCGCGGAGGCATTCCAAGTGAGACAAGGCTCTGGCAAGAAGGGCGTTCTCATTGTCGAGGGTCTCGAGGTCCAGCAAGTGCTCCGGGTCTGTGTATGGCGAGTGGACAATGAATCTGTCGTTGTCGTTGACGTCGACTTCGGCGACGTTGACCACTGCGTTTTCCTTGGTTTGCGGTGCAAGAGGGTCTGTTACCCTGAGGGACGTAACAGCAGTCATTGTGGTTGTGATCCGAGGATGAGCTGAAAGTGTGAATGCCCAAGGCCGGCTAATCCCAAAAGATGTGTTTGTTGGTGATGACTCTGGAAAACCGTCAGGTCAGAAGTGATGCTGCTTGAACAGAAATTCGAGGGCTCTAGGGTATCTTTCAAACAAGATGAGAACGAGCAATAACGAAACAACAAGAGGGTTGAGGACTTCAGAGAGGACTTCAGAGGTGTGGAAATCTGAGAGCGCCTCAACATATAAGAGGATTCCGGAGTCGGGAGTCAGGTACGTCTCGGCAGGGACATCGAGGAAACGTCTTTTGGACACGGGATTGCCTAACCCAAGCCTGGTGGGTCGAGGACTACACCATCGAGCGACTCGGAACGAGTCAAGAACAGCTGACCAACCATCAAAGAAGCGGTGTTCATCCCTCAACCATGTTTGGGAGTCCCCTTCGCATAGCATTTTGCGGCGCGCCGGGCTATGGATCATCTCAAAAAAAATTCCGGCCGCTTGCATGGACGATCGTAGTGCACAGCGATGGCGAAAGAGCGCCAGTCCAAGATTGCGCAATCGCGCGTGGTTCTGATGCCAGAGACGCAATTTCGCGACCTGGACGTGCCGCTATGCAGTCTGCAGTCCGCCATGGATTTGACTTTCAGCCTTTTTTCGTTATTGGGGAACTACGTTCCACGGACAGGCTTCCAGGACTGTTGAGCGCTGGCCAAATAGCCAAAGCAAGCTGCAGGGAACGCCGAGACCACGGCAAGCAAACATTGAGTTGGCAAAAGGGACCAACAAAGATACCGGACGAAAGGCGGCGAGTTGCCGCTTGAACCAGACAGACTTCGCATCAATTTAGGGCGAGAATTCGATGGTCGGAACTGGTCCCCCGCATTCTTCAGAGGCTACGCCGAGCCATGACCGACCGAAACGTCTAGCCGTGCCACTAACACAACGGTCGCGGATATGGAAGACCACTGGCACAAAGATTGCAAGAAACGTGGATTTACAGCACAGGACAGAGATAATGCAGAGCACTCAAGGTGGATGTGCCGTCTCCATTTGTTGATGCCGCCTCGCATCTATTACATGCTGCAGGTTTGCGGTCCCTCTCCCGCCAGGCTGGAGAGTCTCGATTGGTCAGGGTATTTCACCCGGATGACTGGCCTGGGCTACCCCGGGTCCTCCATCCCGTACCCCTGACCGTTGCCACAGATCTTGCGTCTCCGCAGCGCAGGGCAGGGCGGTCTCGGTCTCGACACTGATGTCGGGTCCTGCTGGGGACGTGGACGGGACACACACCGGTCATGATCCACCCCAAAACCCTGCCGCAGCATGATGCCAGACCGTGTTTCGGACCTCTGCTTCCTCTCTCTTTTCCTCTTGCCTCCGACTGATAATGCAGACAGGAACTCTCGACTCACCTTCGGAAGCCACCCTCCATCCCATCTGCCCTTGTTCTATATCTGTACATAACCTACAGCGCACCAACGACACTCAGCCGTCACCGCCTCTTCCACGATGCACCTTGCTGTCCAATGCAACCCCTATCGCCCGTCACAGCCCTCCAACAACTTCCGATTCGTCTTTCCCGCGAGTGAGCCAGACCTTTGACATCTCGTACGTTCCCAGATAAAGCCCGCTGCCTAGCGCCGTCCAGCCGGCTCGCAACAGCCCTCCACGGAAGAGCCCGCGCACGCCGTGCTGCCGGTAGACGTCGCGCGTCACCTCCAAGCTTCCACGGGTTTTCTCTGCCGGCCCTGATTTGCCTGATTGCTGCGACGAACCATTGCCGCCCTCGCCGGCGCTCAACATCATCCGCGTCTTGACAACATCGCTCGGCGTCGTAATCCATGCCGCGAACGCCCCAGCCGCACCTGCACTCGTGCCCGTCACCACCGCCGTCTCGATAAGGCCCTGCTCCTCGCTAGCCGCCGGCCCTTTGGCCCTCGACTCCCAGACGGACGTTCTCACATGCTCAAAGATAGGGAACTGTATCGCCGTGAAGGGGAGATTGCGCGCGACCAACGCCGTGTAACCTGAAAACAGCCGTCTCTGGGCCCCGGAACGTGTGACTTGTCGCAATGCCTCGAGGGACGTTGACTTGCGGCTGCCGCTGCTCCCGCTCCCATTGGCGGGATTTCCAGGGTCCTGTCGTCGCAGCATTTGGGCGTTCTGCTTGATGACTTCGGCCGGTGCAAGGACCAAGCATGATCCCATCTCCGCGACGGCCGAGGCCGAGGCGTGGACAATGGGTTGCGGGACTGAAACCGTGCTGGAAATGGTCTTTTTCATGCTTTCATATGTCGCGAAGAAGATGCCAGCTATGGTTTCCACACGTGATTAGCCGGGTTGCTCCAATCAAGAATATGCTAATTAAGGGGTTAAATGTCGTCTGCGAGCACTCACCGGCTGGCAGAGTTGCGAGGACTACACTTCCGATGCCTTGGTAGAGGCCGCGGAACAGCGGCGCCTGGCTTCCTGGTGAAGATGCATAGGTCTTAACAAAGTCTTGGCTTTGGTACCGGGTCTTGAGCGTGTCAAGAGGGTAGACCAAACAGTCGACAGTGAAGGCTGCGGCAGCGCCCGCCTAGGGTTGCTCTGTGAGTATACTGCAGGCATTCACACGCTCCGTATGGACATGCTCCACGGGCAAGAACTTTCATGCACTTACAGCGTAAATCTCGTACATGTTGTTCAACAGACTTGATTTCTCATCGCCGGCAAAGAATCTCTAGGCAGTCATGGGTTTTCTTGTGCTGGATTGGATGTTGTGGCTTCTGTTTTGCGGTTCTTGTGCTTTCTGGTCCCTCGATTTTGGAATGATGACCTCATAGGCACCCAGCATTTGGGAAACGTCACTACAGCACTTATTTGCGTTTGCCCTTGCCGAAACCCCTGCAAATGCGGCATTTTCGGGCATTCTCACACGCCTTTTTTCGACGTCAATTGACAACGTTTTCGCGAATAACGTAGTGCGTGCAGTATGCGCCCGAGTAAAAAAGATACCTCTAAAATCAGTAAGATCAGGGCAATCGAACAGTACTCTTTTTATTCGCATTCATCGACTTTTCATTTTTAATATTCTTAATTAGCTAAGCGCGTAGGAATTAGGCGAAAATATCCTATTTTTGCGAACTTCGTGAAAACGGACGATTTTCACCTAACTACCTTGGTAAAAATAACGAAAAATGAAAAGTCAATACACGCAAACAAAAAAGATACCAATTAATAGCCTTGATCTCA